ACCACTTCCAGCTTTTTCTGCTTATGTGGTGCTGAGGAATCGAACCCAGGGCCTCATGCATGCAAGGCAAGCGCTCTACCACTGAGCCACCTTCCCAGCTCCTCTAGACTGTGAGTTGGAGATGACAGTCTCAGGGACTTTTTCTGCTTGGATTGATCCTCAGACCTCAGCTTCCTGAGCAGTAGGATTATAGTGAACCACTGGAATCTAGGCTTTTTTTTTTCTTGCCAGTCCTAGGGCTTGAACTCAGGGCCTGGGCACTGTCCCTGGCGTCTTTTGCTCAAGGCTTGCACTCTACCACTTGAGCCACAGCACCACTTCTAGCTTTTTCTGTTTATGTGGTACTGAGGAATTGAACCCAGGGCTTCATGCATTCTAGACAAGCACTTTACTACTAAGCCACATTCCCAGCCCTTATTGATTTATTTATTTCTAAATCGGTGATTTCTCTTTTGGTCCTCTTGAATTCACTAAAACCGATATTAATCTCCATCCTGAGTAGTTTTTATCTTAATTGAGTGTTTAACTAGGATAATATTGACTTATTGGTATTCCACTACTAAAGTAGATCCTGTTTTAATTAAAGTTCATTCCTTTTTTTTTTCTTAAAGGAATGGCTGCTGAAATTTAATCATTCCTTTCACTATTTGTTGATATGATCATGATTGTCTCCTTTAATTTTTAATATAATGAATTATGTTGATAGATTCTGCTGTTAAACCAACTCTGTGCTCCTGGAAGAAACCCTATTTGATTAGCATAATTTTTTTTTAATTCAGCAGTATATTCTGATGTTCTAAAGATTTTTAGATCTCTATTTAAAAATTAATTTCTGGATTTAGAATATTGTTCTTAAGTAGTTATACAAAAGTTTCAATTCAACAAACTGATTTATAAGTACAATACACCTTGTTTACGTCATCTCTTCCACCATTCCCTTCTCTCCCAAACCCATCCATACCCTCAAGTTATATGAATCGATTCTCGCATATATAATTACCATGTTTGCCTTCCCTTCCTCTCTCCATTCATCTTCTCCCCCTCCCCTTACCCCACCTCACAAGTTCCAGCTTCCTAGTGTTATTTTGTTAGATGGTAAGTTGGTTGTTCAGAGGAGTTACACCACTAGAATCTATCCCTGAGAGTTTCTAGATAAAAAAAAAATGTATATATCTTTACAAGGCTTTAATATTAATGAAGCCAGCATAGTTTTCTTTCTTTCTTTGGCATGGAGGATGGAACTCAAAGCCTCATTATTTAGGTCTGAACTTCACCGCTGAGCTATCCTTCCTCAGCTCTCAGTATGATTTTATTATTTTATTTATTTGACATGAAAAGTTGTAAATTGCAAGCCTGGATTAGAGCCAAGAAGAAATTTGGGAAATCAGATTCCAGCCCATAGTGGGATAAGATTGAACAGAGGTCATATCTGCCATAGATTACTACTGCCTGGTAAAACACCTGTGAATCCAGCTGACTAGATGGGTGAACCTGACTGAACACAATCAGAGAGAAAGAAGCCAGTATATGGAACCTGAGAGGTTAGCAATTCATGGAAGGTCACACAGCTCTCAAACCCAAGCCTTGATATTCTCAGTCCGGTGACCTATCAACTCACAAAGGGATTAACAACATCAGAATGGATCTGTTTTCTGGAGTACACCAGTGAAATAGCTAAGGACATAATCTAGGGAAATGGTGACGGCAAGGGGTGCTGGATGGTAGTTCACAAAGCACATTTTCATGTAGGCATTATGGTATATGCTTGCAACTCCTGCATTTGGGAGGTTGAGATAGGAAGTTTGAGTCAAAAATAGCTTTTCTAGAAGTGGAGTTGTGATTCAAGTGTTAAGAGCACCAGTCTTGAGTGAAAAAGCCAAGGGAGGGCACAAGGCTCTGAGTTCAAGCCCCCAAACTAGCATACACAAAAGGTATAGGTGCCAGACTCCTGTACTACTAGCTATTCAGGAGGCTGAGATCTGAGGATCATAGTTCAAAGCCAGATCAGTCAGCAAAGTCCATGAGACTCTTATCTGTAAGCTGCAGCTCAAATGGTAGCTCAAGTGCATTAGTCTTGAGCTAAAAAATCAGGGGCAGTACCCAGGCCCTGAGTTTAAGCCTGAGGACTGGTGCGCATGCACGCACACTCACACAAAATCCAGCTTTTCTGTGTTGAGATCTGAAGATCATGGTTCAAAGCCAGCCCAGGGAGGAAAGTCCATGAAGTTTTTTTTTTTTTTCTCCCTCATGGTGCTTGAACTTTGGGCCTGGGCAATGTCTCTGAGCTCTTGAGCTTAAGGTAAGTGCTCTACCTCTTGAGCCACAGTGCCACTTCCGGTCTTCTGGTGGTTAATTTGAGATAAGATCTCAGCTTCCAGGGCTGGGAAGGTGGCTCAGTGGTAGAGCGCTTACCTTGCATGCATGAGGCCCTGGGTTCGATTCCCCAGCACCACATAAGCAAAAAGAAAAAAAAAAAAAGATCTCAGCTTCCAGAATATTTAGGATTACAGGCTTAATTAAGCCACTGGTGCTAGGTAGTCTAAGAAATTCTTATCTCCAATTAAGTACAGAAAAAGCCAAAGTGGAGCTGTGATTCAAGTGGTAGAGCACTAGCCTTGAGCAAAAAAACTCAGGGACATCACCCAGGCCCAGAGTTCAAGCCCTAGGATTGGGACAAAAACAAACAAAACCTACTCACAGGTCTTATGTTGTCCAGGCTGGTTTCAAATTTGTAGCCCTTCAATAGGATTCTTTGGGGTCAATTATACTTGAACAGATGGATTGAGTTACAAATTTTGTCTTCTTATGGTGGCTAGGAGATGACTAAATTAAGGGTTTCTTGCAGAGCTAGAGATATACCTAGTATGTTTACATCCCTAGGTTTGATCCCCAGTATCATATAAACAAGAAAGCAAAAATGAAGGCTTTGAAGAAGGTGGAGAGAAGTCTTAGTATAGCATTTGGTTATTCCTAATGGGCAAGAAAAATGTGGTAGGTGTGGGGGTGGGCCCTTCCTGATTTGCTGGGATTTGGGGGACAAGGTTAAGGATGTCACCTCTTACTGCCACTTTTATGCCTAGTTGACAGGATGAAGATTGAGGTCCCTCTGGATCTTAGTACACCCCTGTCTCCACTACAAGGGAGACAAGGCTAAGCCACATGCCCAGTGATTGGCTTTCCCTCCTGGCACTGGCTCAGGCGACAGCAGGCAGTGGGGAGAGCCTGGCTCCAGCCCCCCTCCCTGGGAGCTGGCAGCACTGAGTAACAGGGTAGGCAGGGGATGCTGGGCTCTCCAACCCTGTCTTCCTATCCCAAGAAGCCCTTTCAAAGTTTCCCCCCCACCCCCTTCCTGGCAACGTAAGCTTCAATTCATTCAACCTGGCATGAGGCCCAGGATGTACGGATGCTGGGAAGGCCCCAACCCTTACCTTAGCTGCCCCCAGTTTCCTGGGACCCCCTCATCCAGTAGTAGCACCCACCCCCTTCCCCTTGGGACCTAGGTACCTAGCCCCTTTGCCTGTGGAGCAGATGGCCACCCAGAGAGGCTCAGGCTTGCTAAATCAGACATTTAAATCTCATAATCCTTGGAGAGAGGCTGCCCAGGGGACAGCAGCCCAACCCTAGAACAAGGGCAGGCAAGAACTGCGTGCCAGCCCTGGCAGGAGGGAGGGACAGTTGGTTCCCTAGTTATGAATGGAGTCACCCCTCTCCCTTGTTGTCATGCAGGCCACACACTGACCCAGTCCCCAAAGCCTATCATTCTGGAACCCAGGGAGCTGCACCCCTCCCCCGTAACACCACTTATAGATTGAGGGGGCTGTCTCCCAACTTCACCTCCTTACTCATCCCTGCACCTGGGAACTCAGCAAGCCTGGACAGCATCCATCCCTCAAATGCACAGGTGGTAACCAAGTTTTATTGTAAAAGAAAACCAATATATAAAAAGGGAATATAAAAAGGGAGAAGGGGGTGGGAGTGACCAATGCTGATGTGCCTTGCAGGATGCAAAAGAAATCAACCCTGAGCATGTGGGTGGTGGGTGGGTGGGTGAAGTAAACTGGGTCTTGGTGGATCCAGCAGACCCTACATGAGCCCAAGATGGAATTCTCCAGCATGTGAAATGGGGTGACATTTGCTGTTGCCAAAGTTCAACAGAAGACTGAGCAGCATTTGGCTGGGCCAATGGAATCTTGGCAACGTCTTCCTCTCAAGTAGTTGCCCAGTCTTGGAAATTATCAGCCTATCCCTGAACTAGCACCTCCGAGGGGGCCAAGCCCCAGTTACCAAATGGTAACTGGTTCAAGGCCAATCACACATTTTATTAATTCTTACAACAAAACCCCGTGAGGTAGGCACCATGATCAGTTTTTCATAGACGTTCCAACATGAGTTAGCTCCTTGGTTAGTTTTGTTGGAGAACTGGGCTACCAGTACCCTAACCCTTACACGAAGACATGTTCTTCTCTTCCAAATATTCCTCACAGCTAAAACCTTAAAAGCTAAGCTGGTGTGTCCTAGCTCCCACTGCCACCCCCAAAACACTAGTGCAGTGGGGGCCCCAAGTCATGGCGAATGGAAGAGTTCTTGGTTCTGGGTATTTCCGAAGCACACCAATGCCAAGCAGGGAGGCAAGCACCTGAGTCCCAGGGAAGGAGGACAGGGGTAGGGGGCTGTGTCTGGGGGAGAGGAGGCAGAGGAGGTCAATCTGAGTCAGGTCCCTCTCTCTTGCAGATCAGTTTTTTATGACGGGAGGTAGGCTGCCCCTTCTTGGATTTCGGGTAGCTGTAGGGGAGACACAACGAAGAAGACATGATATGAGAGGAGTGAGATTGTCTGAGTCCTTCTTGATTAAGGCCTGGAAGGTTCTAAAGCTGGAACAAAGAGAATGTAAGCTAAGGTAGTAACCACCACCTGCAGATGGTATTCAAGGAACACCTGAAGTATCTGTGTGCACCACTTGATCTTTGTAATTTATTTATTTTGTTGTAGTTGTTGTGCTGGTACTGGGGCTTGACCTCAGGCTCTTGAGCTCTAACTTGGCTTTTTCGCTCAAGGCCGGTGCTCTACCACCTGAACCAGACTTCCACTCCTGGGTTTGTGCTGGTTAATTGGAACTCAGAGTCTCACGGACTTTTGTGCCTGGGTGGGTTTGAACTGTAACCCTCAGATCTCAGCTTCCTGAGAAACTAGGATTACAAATGTGAGCCACCAGAGAGTCCTGATTCTTTCTTTCTTTTTTTTTTTTGGGTCCGGTCGTGGGGCCTGAACTCTGGGCCTGGACGCTGTCCCTCAGCTCTTCAGCTCAAGGCTAGTGTGCTACCACTTGAGCCATAGTACCACTTCTGGCTTTTTTTTTCTTCTGTTTATGTGGTGCTGAGGAATTGAACCCAGGGCCTCATGCATGCAAGGCAAGCGTTCTACCACTAAGCCAACTTCCCAGCCCCTTACTTTTTCTTTGTCAGTTGTGGGGCTTGAACTTGGGGCCTGGGCGCTATCCCTAAGCTCTTTTGCTCAAGGCTAGCACTCTCCAACTTTGAACCACTTGTTTTTTTTTTTTTTCCTTTGGTTGATCATGGGGCTTGAACTCTGGGCCTGGGCACTATCCCTTAGCTCTTCAGCTCAAGGTGAGTACTCTACCACTTGAGCCACAGCCCCACTTCTGGTTTTCTGGTGGTTAATTGGAGATAAGAGTCTCACGAATTTTCCTGCCTGGGCTGGTTGGCTTTGAATTGCAATCCCCAGCCTCCTGAGTAGCTAGGATTACAAGTGTGAGCTACCAGAACCCTGATTCTTTCTTACTCCTTTTTATAAAATGAGGAAACTTGAGCTTCAGGAGTAATAAGGTTACACAAGACCTGTCGATACCTGGCAGGACTGAGTAACCTCAAATTCCAAAGTATCTACTCATCTCCAGGTTTGGGGACCCCGAGGCATGGAAGTGGCTGTGAGATATGACTGGCAGAATACTAAGAACACTGAGTAGGGCCAGCACCCAACATCATGGAAGGAAAGATTACAAGGGAGTACTAAGGAGTTTCCATCCCAGGAAGACAGGGGCAAGGCTGGAAGCGGGCCCCCGTCACTCACCTAGAGTGAGGCTTGCTCTCCTCTGGTTCCTTTTCAGTCTGAGCATCTTTGAATTCAAAGGCCTCATTTATCATTCGGAGCATCTCATAGCGCTCACGCCCACGGATCTACAGTAAGCATACAGGGGACAGAAGCATTGGGCAAAGTCACAAAGCCACTTTCATGCTCTCTTTAACAATTTTCTTCTCAGAAAAAACGGTCCTTAAGTAGATGGATGATGTTCTCAATTGATTGACTTACCGGATCGTTTTTGACTTTACAATGATGTGAAGGCGACAGGCATTCAGTAGAAAAGCATACATCAAATTTGGATCTTTTCCAGCTAGTGATATGTGGTGACACGCTTGATGCTGGGCGGCAGCAGTGAGCTGCAGCCACACAACCATGAGGGGAACAAATGACATCGTACAGGGTACCATCATGCTGCTAAGCTAGCTGAGTTCAGTAGGTTAGATGGTCAAATGTATTTTGTTTGTTTGGGTTTAGTCATGGGGCCTGAACTCTGGGCCTGGG